AAAATATTTTAATATTCTTTTAAATTTAATAGATTTCCTAATAATCATGTTGAATTCAGTAAAATTGCAAGAAAATTTAAAAGAAAAGCTGGTATTCTATATACAGTAGGAGCAATTAATAAAAGTCATATTCCAATTAAAGTATCTAAACAATATCCTATGGATTATTATAATAGAAAGGTTTTTATTCTATTGTTTTACAAGCAGTTATTGATTCTTCTGGAAAGTTTATTGATATTTTTGTGGGATATTCTGGCTTAACTCATGATAGTAGAATATTTCATAATTCACCATTATATCATAAATTTAGTTCTTCTAGTTCTTTAGTTATTCCTACAAATGTATACATTTTAGGTGATGCAGGTTATCCTTGTAAAAATTGGTTACTTACACCATATCATGATAATGGAATATTAACAGCAATACAAACATATTATGATGTCAAACATTCTCAAACTCGTATAGGTGTAGAACAAGCATTTGGAAGATTAAAATCAAGATTTAATTAACTTTTTAACAATGTCAATAGAAATAACTATTCTTATTGTAACAGTAACTTGTATTCTTCATAATATTTATGAAGAAAAATAAGAAGATATGTTAGATGATAACGATTATTTTAATGATCAAAATAATTTTCAAATTTTATTGGATAATAATAATATTAATAGTATAACTTATTTAACTAATTCTATTAGAGATAATTTAGCAAATTATCTATGAAATAAAAAAATTCAAAGAGATGTTAAAAGAAATAGATACAATTTTATTGGTAAAGAAGATGAAGGAGATAGCAAAACATCCAAATAAAATAAATAATTTTCACTTTATAAATTTTATGATTTAAACTTTATTTTATTATGTTTTTTATAAAATATTAAAATTCATCAAAATGTGAAGGTGAAGGACTTTTAATATGTAAAGTATTGATATTAGTATTATCAATTTGTGTAGTACTTTTGATTTGTGCAGTATTATCAATTTGCATAACATTGATTTGTGAAACATTATTTGGGTAGTATTCTATTAAAATTGAGGTACGAATCATATAATTTACTATGTCTCGTAACCCACTTTTAATAGATCAGCTTCCATTTTGCATAACATTATTTTGCATTAAATCAATTGAAGTAGAGGGTTTCGCCGCCCTATTTCAGTTGGTAACAACTGAGACCTATTGTAGGTTATATAGCAATAAACCCTAGTTCAGCCCCTGGCCAAGGTAGATCGTAATAATTTAATTTACGGGATTTACCAGTTTGATTCTGAGAATAAATTTCATAGGATACGTACAAACCATGTATGTTGAAGATCACGAATTTGTAGAATATGGTGATCAATAGATAGTTATTTACATGAAGGGTGGTAATTCCCACAGCATAAGCTGTGTAAGGTCGCTTCATCTACACACCACCTTGATAACAAGTAATGGTGGTAAGTAACTTGATGCATAGTGAACCAATTGAGTTTGGAACCTATGTTAAGGGGCTGGTCTGTAATGGATAAGTGCCGTATTGTCTGCAAAGGGTACCCGTGAGGGTAGGTCAATGATAGGCATTGTATAACTTGGATTGAACAAAAGTCATAGGTTATAGGTGGTTGATATTGCACTGTCTTCAATCATTGTGGTGTCTATATCACAACTAGGATTTGGAGGTCTGGGTTCAATTCTTGGGGTGATTTTGACGTATGGCGAGGCAACTATAGTGTAGGTTATCATCTTAGGTTGTTCTTGACCCTCTTTCCAGTAGTTGTGATGAATAGTGAATGATGACCGGGTACCATATCTCTCTACTCTGAGGGTTCATTGGTTTGGCAGTCTACTCAGATATTGAAACTCATTCACCTAGGTTTAATGCCAATCCACACTGGTTTGAAATATAACAAAGGGGGTTAATAATGGAATTAGACGTGTTGTAAGACGTATCATTCTATTGAAAGGTTACATTCAAATATATTACCACTTGTACGTGTCTAATAAATGTATCAAAAAAAATTTATTTTGACCATTTCGACCATTTCGGATATCCGAAATGATCTATTTCAACTTCATGTATAGTCCTAATAGTTAAAGGCACATTTATTATTAAAAAAATTAATTTTATTAATTTTAATTATTAAAATACCATTCTGATAATTAAAAACAACATTTATTATTAAAAAATAAAAAAACTTTATTTTTTTAATAATAAGTTTATTTTGAAATCAGAAGCAACATTTATGATTAAAAAATAAAAAAAACTTATTTTTATAATATAAAGTCTGTCCTAATAGTTTAATAGTTAGAAGTGCATTTATTATTAAAAAAAATAATTTTATTAATTTTAAATAATAAAATGCCATCCTGGTAATCAGAAATAGCATTTATTATTAAAAAATTAATAAAAATTAATTTTTAATAAAAAATGTTATAGTGGCTACCATCTATAAATGATATAAATATTAGGTGATTTTAAAATTTTATAAGTTAGAAATAATACAAATTTAAGCTGATAAATTAATAAAATATCATTTTCTGAACATTTCTATTGGTTTACTTTTACGATTTATTAAGAAAAATTTAATTTTATTTAATTTAAAAGTTTAAGAATATTTATATGACCTATATAGTAAAAAGATAAATTTCAGTCTATATTGGGTGCATCATTTTTATAAATTTCATGTAAAAATCAAAGAAATTGCTAAAAAATTTTTTTATTTATATATGAGTTATTTCATAAAATGAAAGAAAAAAATGCCAAATTTTAATTTTTTAATAAAATTATAATTTTTGCTTGTGTTTTAATGAAAAACTTATTAATAATAAATTAAAAAGTTAAAACAAATGAGACAAACATTAAAGACTTGAAAAAATATTCTGATTTTACCTATTGTTCTATGTTTTCCTATATTTAATTAAATTAACTAATAAATGACATGTTTATTATATTTCGCGTTTTGATCAATTAATAATAATAACTCATTTATCGAAGCAAAAATCTAATGTTAAAGAACAAGAATGAGATAATAAAGGAAAATTTTTAAAAAAATTAAAGCTAATTGATGAATTTGATAAATATGAAGATGAGGATAATAGTGTGTGGGATGAAGAAGTTAGTTTACTAAATGAAAAAAAAAATTTTAAAAATAAGTTAATTTGGTCAGATAATGCATATTTGGAAAAAAGAAATGCAGATCTTACCTTGTTGGAAAGATTAAAAAATCAACATATTTTGATTTCAAGTAGTTCTTTTACAAAAGTTGCAAGAGAAATTGCAAATATTTTAACATTTATAAATAAAATTAATCAACTCCAATTGATTTTAAAGAAAATTTGGATGATATGGAAGATGAAGAATAAAATTTGCTTAATTTAAAAGAAAAAATCAATATTTTGAAAATTGAGCTTAAAGAACAACAAAAATTATTAACTGTAGCCAAATATAATAAAAAATGAGCAATATTAGAATATTTGATAAGATTAGATGATGGAAAAGGAAAAATGAAGGCTAGTATGGAAGCTGCATAATTATTTTTATTGAAAGTGAATCATATAAAATAAGGTCTATTAGATATTGAGCAAATATTGGCTACAAAATAATCATCTTTCAATAAGTTGTCAAGACGAATATAAAAAAACAATATGATTAATAGATGATGAAGATATAGCAGAAGAATGTCATATTTGGATTCGTGCTCAAGGTGGAACAATCACACTATTAAAATTTAAAGAGTTTGTTGAAAATAAATTACTTGTTAATTCTGGAATAACAAGAAAAAAACAATTAGTATAATGATACTTGATACTTTTTTCAATCTCAAAAACAAGGTAAAATATTTATTAAATTATAATAAATTAATTATATCGATTTTAATATTACTTATCTTAATAGGCATATATATGATGATCATGAATATCCTGATGTTATAGAATATTATCAAATGTTTTAGAAGGAAATCTATAGTTATGAAAAGTATATGACAAAGTATGAAGGTGAAAATATGGAACGGAAGCCTCCAATATTAAAACCCAATGATAAGAAAGCAATTCTTATAACACATGATGAATGTATTTTCTACTCTAATAATGGAAAACGAGGAGTATGAGCAAAATTCAGAGAATTGCCATTACGTAAAAAGGGAAATAGACAGTCAATAATAGTTAGTGAGTTTTTATCAGTAGAATGTGGTTGGCTTAAATTAAATGCACAACAACATCAAGAAAATCCTTCCATATCTGAAGATGCACGTGTTTATTTTCAGCTGTATAAAGATCAAGAAGGTTTCTGAACAAGTGAACATTTAATAGAATAAGTAAAGACAAAGGCTATTCCCATTTTTAAAATACTCTTTCCTAATTGTATTGCATTATTTGCATTTGACAATGACTCAAATCATGCAGCATTTAAATCTGATGCTCTTGTGGCCAATAGAATGAACCTAAAATCTGAAGGCAAACAACCAAAAATGAAAGATACAGTCTTTAGATTAAATAATCAATATCAATTAATAGTAAATGAAAATGGTGAACCAAAAGGAATGAAGCAGATTCTAATTGAGCATGGATTGTGAAAAAATGGATTAAAAGCAGATTGTTAGTTATGTAAAGATAAAATAGATGATATAACTCAAATAGATTATTGTATGTGGTAGATTATTTCTTTACAACCTAACTTTTTAGCATTAGAAGAAGTAATATTAAATGCTGGGCATAAATGTATCTTCTATCTAAAGTTCTATTGTAAGTTGAATTATATTGAACGGTATTAGGGAGCGGCAAAACGATATGCATGGAAAAACTGTAATTATTCATAGTCAGGCTTACAACATGTTGTTCCTATAGCTTTAAAGTCTGTTAGTATAATTACAATAAGAAAGTTTGCAAGAAAAACATGGTAGTATATGGATTTGTATAAAAAAGAAATCACTGATAAGCTGGTAGAGTATGCTGCTAAAAAATACAAATCTCATCATTGTATTCCTGATTATGTATTAGCAGAGTTAAATAAAATAATTCAATAAAGCGTGTTGCGTACGTGATGCTATATACGGAAATCATATGAAGTAATATAAAATCATGTGATTTTTGCTTTTTTAAAATTTCGAATTATGTTGATTATAGATGATAGCCAGTATATTTCGATAGTCAAAGGTGGTATTTATTATTAAAAAAATTAATTTTTTTTTAATTTTATTAATAAAATACTGTTCTAAATGTCAAAGGTGATATTTATTGTTTAGAATATTATAGTTAAAAAATAATAATAGTTTTATTTTTTAATAATAAATGCTGATCTGAATATTAAACGTAGATAATTAATAAAAAATAACATTTTTATTATTTTTAAATATTAAAATGCTATTCAAATGTCAAAGGCAAATTTTTGTTAAAAAAACATTTTTATTATTTTTTTAACATTAAAAGCTGTTTTAAATGTCAAAGGCAGATTTTTGTTAAAAAACAAAATTGTTATTTTTTTAATATTAAAACATTAGAGGTGGATTTTTGTTAAAAAATAATAAAATTGTT